CAACAATATCATGAATATCACACACAAATAAAATTTTGCTGAAGATAATTTGAAATGTTTGCAGCAGTGCATCTATAGTGAACTGCCAGAATGTCAAGCCAGATTCAGAGGAGCATGGAACAAGGGGTATCATTGCTGATATTAAATGGTTATTCCTTAAAAACAGAGAATAACAGAATTTTTTTATTGACTACATAAAGGCATTTGGCTATAACAAAGTGTAGATAACATTGCAAAGAAGGACAATTCCAGAACATTTCATCGTGTTCATGCAGAACCGATACATGGATCAAAACACAAGTCATTAGGCTAGAACAGGGGGATGCTGCATGGTTTAAAATGAGGAAAGGTATGAGTCAGGGCTGTATTTTCCCTTCAAACTTAGTTCACTCTGTAAGCTGAACAACTAATCACAGACGCTAGTGTCTATATTGAAAAAAGAGTACAGCATGAGGATTAAACGAAGACTCATTGATTTGTAATATGTAAATGACACAACCTTGCTTGCCGAAAGTGGTGAAGGTTTGAAACACTCATGAAGATCAAAGCCCATAGATTTCAGCATAGATTATATTTCAACGTAAAAAACAAACATTCTTATAACTGATAAATATAAATAGAGAAATTATTGAAATTGTCAGAAATTTCATTTTACCTGGATCCATGATCATCACCAAAGAAATCAGTTGCCTAGAAATCAAATGGTGCATTTCATTGGGCAAATCTGCTGCAAAAGACCTTGTTAAAAGTGTCTGAAAACAAAGATGTCACTTTAAGGATTAAGGACACCTGATCCAAGTATTTTCAATTACCTCATATGTATACAAAAACAGAACAATGACTAAGGAAGACCAAAGAAGAATTGAGGCCTTTGGATTGTAGTGTTGACAATGAATAGTGAATATACCATGGACTACCAGAAGAATGAACAAATCTGTCATAGAAGAAATACAATTATATTGTTTCTTAAATGCAAGGATGACACGATTCATCCATCGCACATACTTTGAATGTGTCATCAGGAGGGTCCAGTCCCTGGAGAAGGACATCATGCTTGGTGGAGGGTCAGCAATGAGATGGGTTGACCCAGTTAACCTGAGCCTAGAGCAGTGGATTGGAACAGGAGGTTCCAATAATTGGAGTGTTCAGTTGTATGTTATACATAGGATCACTATGAGTCAGAACTGACACAATGACATCTAACAACAACAACTTTAATGTTGTTGTTAAGTGCTATCAAGTTTATTCTAACTCATAGTGACCCTTCGTAGAGTTTCTGAGGCTGTAAATCTTTGCGGGAGCAGAAAGCTTCATTTTTCTCACAAGAAGTGCCTAGTGGGTTTGAACTGGTAACCTTGTGATTGGCAGTTCAGTGATTATCATTCAGTTTACATATATGCATACATATTTGTGAAAACATAATGAATCCTTAAAGAAATAGTGTGACATTCCTTTGGCACAACATTTTTTTAAAATTGTCAAATGATTCTAATTTTCAGGCTGTGGCAAAGGGCTTTAAAATGGGCGTGAACAAAATTAATTTCTTTTTCTATATTGTTGTTTCCTGGTAGTTTTAGCAGAGATTTATTCAGGGAATTATAATGACAAACATGAAACAGGATTCATGATGTGGAATGTGCCTTTTGACATCATAATTATTACTAAAAATGATTTGTCAGCCATTAAATCAACTCTTTAGTTTCTTTTTTTTTCCATTTGAAACCTTGGCATTAAACTCTATCACTGCCCTCTCCTTACATACGACTAACATTTGGAAAAACCCAAGAATGTGCAAATACGAGGGGACTTGGAAAAATGGAATGAAAAGATAATGAAATTTTTCCACAGACTTTTTGAGGTCCCTTTGTAGACCATGTTTTACCACAAATGGAGAAACCCCTGTGATTCAGAATATTATATTTGTATTTACTTCCACCTCAGAGAGAAAAGCCTCATGCTGACACTTGTAAAATAAATTATTCTTGCAGCACCTGATTTCACCTCTTCCCACCCCAATAATATAAATCTCCTGGAGATCTTTTCATATTAACATTTATGTATTTATCTTACTCTTTACATATTGGTGATTTAGCATTCTGTTGT